ACGAAACAGATGTCCTTCTTCCACCCCATCAAACCTGTAATACCAGAGTAACTTCTGCCCAATTAACAGTCTGCAGCTATCATATCGTTATAGCAATCTGACCTTAGTTCATACCTGCCAGGTGTTACACAAGAAAAGCCAAGGCTTTGTGTGAAATACACTTCCCATGATGCTTAGTTGAAATGTCAAGCAAGTTATTTCCTTATATGTGCAGTTACAACAGAGAATCAGTGTAGATCACAAATCTAATGTGATACTATAAAGAACCTCATGTACTTCGTATCCTAGGTTCGTTCGCAATCTCCCGAAATCCTGCAAGGTCGTGTATATTATATTTCTCAGTCTTTCTCATACCCAAACATCAGTCGAGACTTGATGATGGGTACAACAGGAATGTTTTATTATGGCCAGATTGCATACTTTTATACACAGACACCCCAGCAGGGGTCTCCAGCTAAAAATATGGAAACAACACGCCCAGGCGTCTCTCGTGTCTGATAAATGAGTTTACTTTACTTAAACTATTATCTCCCAGGCACTAGAGGTACAATGCATAACATACAAAACACCCCAACACATACATAATATTAATAGGAACCCCCAAAAGTCTTATATTCTCAGATAGCTCGGAACTGAGTTTACCAAATAGCGCTCGGATCTGTTCGGTGCAACTAAACCACCATCCGGCTAAAGTTTGAACCGACCGCACACAAGGCGTATGCCCAAATTAGCTCCACTAGAAAAGTGGTTGCGGTCAGTCAGCGTTCTGGAGTTCCTACACAAAAATAAACAAATGGTTCCCCAGGCTCATAGGCAGCGATTGTTCTTCTTGTTCGTGCGAACCTTTTCACCAAATAGCGCTCTCCTGGCTTGTCGGGAACAAAAGCAGGCGGCACAAAGTTACAGAGGTTCGCGAGTTATAACATCTGTCTTGGAGTTCCAGACACTTGCCGACCAAGTACCACTGCCTGCATTTGGGAAACAAGATGGCTGCCATTTTCCAGAGCACATGTTCCAGGGCAGTTTGTCACAGATACATACTCTTGTACTATTACATATGGGATATATATATTATTATTATTGAATAATACAGATTATATCACATTTCATTATAGCCTTGTTCTATATTTTTTCTTTTTTACACATGTATCATAGTCAACGTATAACTTAAAATATATTTAACCTACAGTGAAATTGAAAAAAAAATCACGGAAAGGATGCTTAAAAAAATAAAAATATATAAATGAAAACAAGCATATAATCTAATCTTTACAAAACAAATGGTATGCACAAATAGTGATACAAATAGATTGCTCTAAAACACCCGTGTGGGATCCCCTATACCAACACTGTTAAATACATACAGAACAGGAAAAAATGGATGGAGCAATATTAGTCCTCTCTTCTCAACTTGTAGTTCTGTAGAGACAGAGAGGTACACACAATAGTGCAGATGGCTATAGACAAGTGTGGCTAGGTGATAGATGAAAACACTCACAAACGTAGAGCCAATTGGACCTGGCTCTGGTATCAAGGCCTCAGGATCTTTTGGGGGTGATCCAAATCCCTCTGGAGATGTTCTGGATGTCCAAGGATACTTTCTTGTTCCACCATAAACAGCAAGGGATTCAGTTAGATGTAAAGTAAAATATAATTTATTAATACATATAAAATATATAGGAAAGATAAGTATGAAATAACAGCCAAAACGCGTTTCGCCTCTTGGGCTTCCTCAGTTGGCTGTCAGCCAACTGAGGAAGCCCAAGAGGCGAAACGCGTTTTGGCTGTTATTTCATACTTATCTTTCCTATATATTTTATATGTATTAATAAATTATATTTTACTTTACATCTAACTGAATCCCTTTACATCTAACTGAATCCCTTGCTGTTTATGGTGGAACAAGAAAGTATCCTTGGACATCCAGAACATCTCCAGAGGGATTTGGATCACCCCCAAAAGATCCTGAGGCCTTGATACCAGAGCCAGGTCCAATTGGCTCTACGTTTGTGAGTGTTTTCATCTATCACCTAGCCACACTTGTCTATAGCCATCTGCACTATTGTGTGTACCTCTCTGTCTCTACAGAACTACAAGTTGAGAAGAGAGGACTAATATTGCTCCATCCTAATCTAATCTTTAGTTAGATGATAGGTGGTTGTACAGCTGGCATAGAATCTAGTAAAT